TGACCACTGGCCTAAAATACTTCCCATCATTATCCTAATATCAGTCTTATTTAACGTTTCCCCTAAAACTGGCCAATGTCTTTCCCCTGTGTGCACACTTCTGAATCTTTGCACACGCTGTTCCCTCCTTCTGGAATGCTCTTCCTCTTCTAAGTGCCCCTCCCCTCTTCTCAGCTGCTCTCCACACATCCTATATTGGCCTCGCTTACTCTTTTTCATTCCTACACCTCAGCTTACATGTCCTGTCCTCAGCTGTGCCTCACCCCTGAGGCTGGATTTTGTTTCCCTGCCCCATGGCCCCATAGCATTCCTCACCCACCTGTGGCTATTCCTTACTGGTTTCTCCTGCTTGTTTTCTGGTCCATGGAGGTAGAAACCATGTCTGTCCTGCTCCACATCACCAGGAATCTGCATGGTACCTGACAAATAGTAGTTGCTTAATTTGTTGAGCGAACAAATGAATAAACATGGGACTTGGAGCGAGTAGAACTTGAAGCAGTGCAAAATGTTCAGATCTCTGCTGTTTCACATACCTTCATATATGACCTTGAGACTTGATACAAGACCTCTCTGAGCCTCTGTTTATTCACTGATAGGATAAGAGAGTAATATGCATTTGCAGGGTTCTTGGAAAGTTAAGTGTGAGAATCTGTGTGTGAAAATGCCTGGCACCTAGAAATTTACTCCCTAAATGCTTGTCAGATCTGTAGATGAGTAGGAAATAGACTTGGTGTAATACCTTTCTTCAGAAAATTCATAGCTTGGGTCACAGCACAGTGGTAAGGACATAGGCTCTTAAGCTGGGCAGCGTGGTTGGACTCCCAGCTCTGTCACTCACTAACTGGACAACCTTAGGCCAAATACTTAAAAAAAAAAAAAAAAAAAAAAAAAAAAAAAAAACATTATGTGACTCAGTTTCCTCATCTGTAAAATGGGAATAATGATGTGATGGAATTCAGCTTAGAACAGCACCTGGCACATTAGCTATTGTCATTGCTTTTAACATATAAGACTGACAACCGCACAGAAAGGCTCTTGCCTGTGGTCCTCCTTAACAGACGAAGAGAGATTTTCAGAGAAGTTAAGTGACTGCACAAGGTCAAACAATGAAGAAATGTCAGCTTTGTGCTTCAAGGCCAACTCTGCTGCTTCCAAATCCCATGTTATTTCCACTCCATCAAAGAAGGAGCTCAAAATAGGCCTGTGGCATTTCGGCTAATTTCCTATAAGCCCTTACCAAGTAACCAACGGCGGGCACACAAAGCTGCTCCCCTAAGAGCATCCATTCAGCAGCTGCTAAATATGTGTGCCTGGTGGATCCAGACCATCTATGGGACTTGCACCAAGCCAGCTCTTCCCAGGTGGCCTTGCCTGGTCTGCAGAAGGAACCTACAGAGTAGAGCTGGGTTAGGAAGGGGCAGAGGGTGATACATGAGTTAGATGGGAAAAGAAGCTGGAGACCAACTGGATGTAAGGGGTGGGGGGAGAAGAAATGAGAGGAAGCTCACATTTATTGAGTGCCTAGTATGTACTAGGAATTTCATCTGTCTCACACTATTTAACCTCACTATGATCACTCAGTCATTGTTCATTAAGCATCTACTAGGTGTCAAGCTCTGGACTAGGCCCCAAAGATGTAATGGTGAGTAAGACACAGCTATTGACTTCAAAGGGCTCAAAAGTCAGTAGGAGAGATGACACATATAATACTAAAGGGCTATGAATGAGATGGTAGAGGGTGGCAACAGTGAAAAGCAGGTAGTAGATATGAATAACATCAGGGGAAAAAAAGCAGGTATTAGTGTGCCCACTTAACGTATTGTGAAACTGAGGCTCTGTGAAGTAGATTTGTTTGGAGTCAAGTAGGCGAGTTGAGCTATGCCATCAGGTCTATTCTGTCTCCAAAAGTCTCTTTCTTTCCATGCTTGCAGCCTGAAAGCTCTTACCTTCCTCCCCAATCCCCTTTCCTTTTCTCAATGATTATCTAGCCAGAAGATTAACCAAATGCTGCTAAAGCCATGGCAGCTGTCAGTGGCTAAGATGTTAACTGCTTCTGTGGACAATCAGAAGCTCTGAGCCTCTGTTACTGATTTCATTTTGGCAAAAGATTCAGGGGTTGGTGTGAAAGAGGGGAGGGGATGAGAAGGAGGTCTCTATCTCCAGGCTGAAGGGACCTCTAGGGCAGGTCAAAGGCAACCAAGTGACAGAGTGAGGGCAAGCTTCTCGGGCTTGTGTGGCTATTCGCAGGCCTCTCTCCACTGCCCCTAAAAGACCCAGTCAATCTAAGAGACCGTCCTGGTTGCCCTTCACTTCCCCCCCCCCAAACATGGGAGCCAAGAAAACCACCCACCTGACTAGATGTGCTGGGTTCCCTGCTGAGTGGGATCTGCGGGTCTACCCCTCCCCCTCCCCATCCTCACAGGACAAGAAGCCAAGTTGGAGAAATCTTCAGTCTGCAAGTGCAGCTCTTTCTACAGCCTACAGGTACCTTAGCAGGGGTGTGAAATCCTCATTCTGTTCTCCAGACACCAGAACCCTCTCCAGGTGCCAGAAGCACTGCAGTCTCTTAAATAGAAGAGAGCAGAGAGGGAGAGAAGAAAGTATCATGCAGGTGGAGAAACAGGTAGTAGTTTTTCTATACACACACATACACACACACACACACACACACACACACACACACTGCATTGGACATGCCTGCTGATCATCTCTGAGGTAAGGGAGAAAAGTTGGGCAATACCAAAGGAAGTCTAATTTTAATTCAGTCATATATTACATACTCTTTGAAAATAATCAGATCTCTGGGAAATTGTTAAGTAAAATAAAAAGGAAGAGACCAGAAAGTATGAAATAATTGAGTTATACAATTATAACATCTCTAACCCTCAACTGACCCATCAGACTCACAGCTCTCTCTTAAGCTTCTCCCCACCTACTCACCCCCCAAAAAAATAAAATAGTGCACGAACACACATCATGCCTTGTGTGTTCTCACTCACTTAACTATGAAACTGACCAGAGAAAGAAAGGAATCAGTAACAGCAGGAATTTGGTATGCTGCGTTTTCCAGGGTTTACATTAAGGAAAAGTTGCACATGTACAAATAAGAGGTGACGCTGTGATTAACCCAGGATACGGATTCTGCAGAGGAGGAGATGTGTTGGGATGTGTTTCAGTGTTCCTAGCAGGGAGATTTTTATCTCTTCCAATCCAGTTTATGAATGGCATGGGAAACTTAAGAAGGACTCACATTTCACCCACTTCCCCTACAAACATGTTTATCCTTAAGATGGCAATCATTGCCCAAGCCCCAACCACCAGTCACCCTTCCGCACCCTTTTCCATGAATAATCTCTCCAAAATGTCTGCTTGTAGGAGCAAGATTTTGAATTTCACGGAAAACTACAGACACACACACACACACACACACACACACACAAACGCACGCACACAGTGCACTGCACACCCCCACTTTGCCAATAAGAGACAAAGAGACAAGAGAGGAACAACCAAAAGGAGACGCAGCTTATGTGACAATAAAATAAAATAAACTCCCAAGCAGCAAAGTGAAACTGATTATTTGAGAAAAAAAAAATCACAGAAAGACCTCGTTTGTAATTACCCATCCAGGTTATATTTTCACCGCTTCCAGGCAGAGAAACGGCTGGTGGAAGTTTTGTGCCCATCTGATTGTGATGGGAGGGTTGTATTTGAAGCTCTGGGCACGTAGAGATGGAATGAGAAAGAGGCTGAGCTGGAAGAAACACCGAGGGGGGAGGGAGAGGGAGAGGGGGGGGCAGAGGGAAAGGGAGCGAGCTCTCTCTAGCTACGCCTTCCTCTAAGCTCTGGGAGCCCAGAAGAGCGCTCATTTTAGGGTTTGGGAGAGGAGTAAAAAGAGGAACGCCGCTCCCCCCCGCAGGTCTGCCCTGGCCTCGATGCCCGCTGCCGGGAGGGGAGGGAGGACTCTGGCCTGCGCCCCCCTCCTGGCCGGCTGCCCTGCCTGCCCGGGCGCGCGCGGAGCGGGAGGCGCAGGGAGCTGTCCAGTTCAGCACCACCCGGTAATGCAGTAGGTGGGAGCGCCTCCGCCGGGCCGGCGGGCAGGGAGTTGGGGGGTGGGGGGGCCGGCAGGCGGGCGGCCCATCCTGCAGCAAGACGCCGGCTCCCTTGTTTCCAGGAGCTTTGCAGATAGGGGGAGGGAAACCCGCCTCGATTCTCCGGGAGAAACCCCTTCCCTCCCCCACTTCGCCAACACTACCCGGCCACCAACAACAATAACCGCCGCTGCGCCTGCCTGCCCGCCCTGCTGCTGCCGCCGCCGCCGCCGCCGCCGCCGCCGCCGCCGCTGCCACTGCCGGGGCAAAACCATGGAAGGCGAGACCCCCGCACCTGTTCAGCTGAGATCAAGGGCTTACAGAATACTGGGAAGTCTGGTCTGAAACGAAAGCGCCGAGACCCCCCCCAAGGAAGAGAACTGGCGAAGCAAAGGATTTTCATGGCGCAGGCCGCAGAGACGGAAGGTTGCATCTCGGCTTTTACAATCTCTAACTGTCTAGGTCCCGACCATGAGAGATTGTGTTGAGAATGCGGCTGTTCCCTGGTTCACTGTGGAAGCCATCTCCAAATTAGCTATCACATATGGAAACTGGAGACCAGAATTTTAGGAAAAGAGCTTAAGGCATTTCACTTGGGGGGGTGGGGGGTGTCTTTTTATTTATTTTTTCTTTTTTTTAAAAAAAAAATCACTGCAACTGGAACAGTTTCTGATCTCAAAAGGCAAGCCTCTCTTTCCGTGTGATCTTTATAATTTATACTCTTTTTTCCGTGAGCTTTCTTACCTCCCCTTTTTTATATCTCTCCGTAATCTCTATTCACACATATATCCATTATATTAGAAGTGGAATTATTTTTATTTTATTTTTTTTTTGCTTTAGTACTTTGCACCCTCACACACACTCTCCCAAGAACCAGAAGTCGGTTGGGTGTTTATATAATGAAGAATTATGGGGCTGTTTGATCGAGGTGTTCAAATGCTTTTAACCACCGTTGGTGCTTTCGCTGCCTTCAGTCTGATGACCATAGCTGTGGGAACCGACTATTGGCTCTACTCCAGAGGGGTTTGCAAGAGCAAAAGTGTCAGTGAGAATGAAACCAGCAAAAAGAACGAGGAAGTTATGACCCATTCTGGATTATGGAGAACCTGCTGCCTAGAAGGTATTTGATTTCCCATCTCCTCCCCTTCTCCACCCCACCCCTTCCCTCCCCTCCCCGCTCCCCCTCCCCATCCTCATCTCGGATAAGTCCCCTTCACATTCCACCATTTTCTTACTTCACTCCTTCCACCACAGATCAAGGTTGCTTGGGTTAGTTTCAGAGGAAAGGAAATCAATAAACAAAAACCATTCTCAACTCTCAAGCCTCCACCACCTCCCTTTCCCCAGACCTCTTCATTGGAATCATCTATGATGTGATGAAAACAACAAGAGATTGTCTTTAAAAGTCAAATGTGTTCTGCCTACTTCGGAATCATTAGGATTTGCCATTTGATGTAGTCTTGCCGTCTATTGGGGGGGGGGGGATAATTGTTTCTCTCACACTGTTCCTCTTTTCATAAGAGGAATTCAAAAATGTTCTTCCTTTCCCTCTCCTCCTCCCCTTACTCCCCAAAAGTCCCAGACACATCATCATCTGAAAATCCCTCTTTTAAAAAAAAAATTGTTTCTAAGAATCCTTACTTGGTAAATCCTAATTATTCCAGAATCTCAAGCTGAGTTCAAGAGCATTTCGTAATGTCTATGAGCCACACATATTGTTGGAGGCAACTGGCTGTGTGTGTATGTGTGTGGTAACGTTTACAAAGTCTAAAAATGCATGCGTCTCTCACAGGAAGCAAGCCCAAGTTCTAATAAACAGCGATTCACTTGCAGGTTAAGCTGAGAACCAATTCACTTGCACGCAGAGTGACATGTCTGTTATCCAGAAGCGCGTAGAGTCAGCATTGCAGCCAGTTGGAGAATCAGACATTGTGCAGGGAGGCCAGGGAGGGAGGCGAGGGCATAGGCAGGTTGGGGGTGGGGGGAGGCAGGAGAGCAGTGGGACAGGGATGTCAGCTGTTTGCCTTGATCTTGCAGGGTCATTGGGACATGTGTGCCGGTGCATGTGCTGTGGGGGGAGGGGTTCCTACAGTGTAAAGCCTGGGTGATTGGGGTGCGGATGAAGGCATGTGCTCCTGAGACACACTAATAAGCACTGAAGAAAAAAAAAAAAAACTCCTGCAGGTCATACGACCTGCATTTAGCAACAGACTTTCATGGAAGGGACTGCATTTGAATGGTGACAGCCACCCATAGAGAGACGTGCACAGCGAGATTCATGTTTCTGTGTAGAGAGAAGGCTTATGTGCTTTGCTTCTGGTTTGAACCAATACCGGAGGCTGTTGGAGGCAGCGTCGGGAAGCAGAGACTGCAGGATTGTTTGTTAAGCTCAACATGGGATGGTGATGCAGGGAGTAGAAGCCAGGGGATGGGGGAGAAATAAGCGAAATGGACAGGAGTGGGAGAAACCGATGTGACCTTAGGGTCTAACCCATGCTGAGCAAAAGCCGCTCTTTGGGAAATGGTCGTGTCTGGGGAAGAGCATCAGCTCTGTGTCCCCCCCCCCCCTCCTCCCAACATTCTTGGTGCAAGCGGTTGAGTGATGGCTGGACATGTTTTGAATAGCTAAGTGACTTCAATGAGCGATGGTCTATTTGACGCATACTGCATTTGGTGCCCTTTCTCAATCCAAACTGCTGCCTTGAACATCGTCTGCAGAGCAGCTCTCTGCTGAATACTATATGCTCTTCCCCAGCCAGAGAATCAATATGGGGAAATTAATAGAGACTGTTTTAAACACACCCCTCCTTTTTTAAAAAATGAAGAGCCTTTCATGCAGCTAGCCATTAACCGCGAAAAGACTTCCATTTAATTAAACATTTATGGCAGACTTTTATTCCGAAAGAGAAGAAAAGCAAAGTGGATGAGGGCTGCTGTAGGGAAATGATCACAGTGGCAATTTGCTTCCTTTGGATTTAAGTTAGATGGATGGAGATATGCGGCCACGGGTGAGCCGAAAGGCAGGACAGTCTTAGGGGCACAATCCACAGTACCTGGTGACCTGGTATACATATGCTTTCCTTAGGAGGGGTCTATTTGTGTTTCTTATTCCTATGATCTTTTAAACAATTCATAATTCCCAGAAGGCAAGAGGACTAAGGGAGAACTTTGGATCAGTTATGCATTAAAAGGCTTAAATACTTTCATTAAAATTCCGTCTGTTTGGTGCCTACATCCCCGAACATGCTGCCCAACCAGCCCCTTTAACTTTCTCTCCAAGCCACACACCTTCTCTCTCCCTGATTCATCTCTGAAAAGCTTAGGCCTGTAACCCTTTCCCAGGGCTGCGCGATGCTCACAGGAGCTGTGGGATTGGCCCCTCTCCCCGGGGCTGGGCCTCTAGGCAGTGAGGGGATGGCTGGGCCAGGCTCCCTCTGGGACCTTAGTGCTGTTTTCACTTGTAGCCAAGGTCCAGGCAGGAAGGGTGAGTGCTCAGGGCCCCCACTCAACCTGGCCTTTAATCCCCCAAGCCTCTGTCCACACGGGCTTTGCAGGCCCCGGACTCCCTGGGAAGTTGGGCCTTAGTCCCTTAGGAAGTAGTTTGAAGACATTAAGCCACTTATTTTCAAAGGCTGCGCTGGTTTCCAAAGATCGTAAGCATGCTTCTTTCCGAAGGCTGGCACAGACAGCTGTGTGGGGCTCTCGTGGGCTTGCTTTTCTGAGCATTCACAATAGGGTCGTGCTGTACAGAAATCAGATTCTCAGTGCTTCCGTCTCCTCCCACCTCCGGTGTTTGTGAGAAGCTGGACTTTCAGATAAGGTCCCTCGTCACCTCTTTATTGTGCCTCCTGCCCGTGCCCAAGAAGTTGTGAACAGATTTCAAATCTTCTTCCCCAGAGGCTGCTAACGACTCCAGACAGAACCCAACCCTGTCTGCTTCTGCTCTCCTGCTCTCTGGCTTTCACTGGGGCCTTTGCTCTTGAGATAATTTTTTTCTTTCACTTTTTGATGAAAATAAGAATGAGAAAATATTTCCTTGCCTCTCTTGCTGCTTTGGGAATGAATCAGTCTGCTCAAGAGTGAGAAGGGACAGGACCACCTGTTAGGGTAGACCTTCAGGAGGGGACAGAAATCCAGAGGAAAATACCTTTGTGTTCCCTCTGCAGAGTCAATAACAGCAGTGTCTTTGCATATGAACTTGAACCCCTAACAGGCTGGTGTCCTTAGTAGGGTTGGGAGGTTAGGGGACAGTCTGCATGTGGATACAGGTAGGTAGCAAGTGATGGAAGTTCTTGAACTTTTCACAAAACCTGAGTTAAGAGCCTTGAAATGGAGAGATGAATCGGCTGTTTCTATAAAATCTGCAACAGGACACTAAAACAGCTTGTTCCAAGAGAGTATCTGTGGGCCGAGCAGTGGCTGGCTGCCTAAGACATTAACCTCTGTTGTCACCGACAGGAATCATTGTCTCCAGGGGCAGCAAGAAATTCCCTCCTCATGTGTCTTCTCCCCTCTCCCTCCTCCTCCCCATGTCCCAGCTGCACGTCTATCTGTCTGTCTCGCGCAGAGAATCTCCAGGCCCACAGAGGAGAAGGCCGGGGCACAGCGTGGTCTGCAGCAGAAACGCACCCTGTTTTCTCGCTCCCTCTCCCGCCCCTTTCCTTTCTGTGAGGCGCAGCCGAAATCTCGCTGTGTGTTCAGACTATTAATTCCCTCTGCTGAATTCCCAAGCTCCTCTTCCTTCCCCGGCTTCTCCTATCTCCCCCTCCACATGCTGCTTCTCGCGGAGGGTCTGCCGTCCTTCCCCAGCTCTGCTCTCGCTGAGCAAGTCGTGTCTGTCTCGATTTTCCAAGTCTGTGGTTGCACAGCCTTTGCTAGGCTGAGAGGTGGCGAGTGCTCCGCGCCGGGCTCAGCCACGGCTCTGTTGTTCTGGAGAAGGAAAGGATGTGTCTTGTCTGTTAGGAAAGCCAATCACCTTTCCCAGACACGCTTGCCTTTCAGTATGGACGAGCTGCGTATGGAAGTCACTCATGGGCCTTCATACCGTGTGCGCATGGCTCCAGAATTCCCAAGATAATTTGACTACCTTTGGCGCTTTGCACACAGTAGGTGCCTAAAAAAATATTTACCAATGGCTTCACTCAAAAGTTCTTAAAATTATTGAAATTAATTCAAACATCATAAGGACATGTGACTGTGACAATCAAGTAAGGGGGGCAGTGAGGAAATCAAGCTGGTTTATTTGTTCTTCCTGGAACTTTTTTTTTTTTTTAAGGATAATAATGAGTCATGAATTCATTATTATAAAATAAGAGAATTCCAAAGGAGTCAGTCATTGCGGGTGCATTAGCTCCAAACTGGCTAACGAAAAATAATCAGTACCTTCGGCCTCTACAGGGAAGGAAAGAATAACCCATTGATTTTCTTCCCCTTCCTGCTTTTTCAGGTATATCAAAGGCCAGTTTGATCTTAATACTCACCAGAATAGACACTGGGCAGAGAGCAGGCATTCTGGACCGTCCCTATTAAGCTTCTCCAGAAGCTTCTATTCATTACCTAAGTTCCCCACCAATCCCCAGGACCCTGAGAACACTCCCCTAGGTCCGGCTCTGCTCTGCGGTTTTCCATAGAGCCAGGCTCAGCAGCCCAGCCATTCGCCTTGGAATGAGGAACAAGCTCTGCCAGTCCCAAGCATTCACCTGCCCTCCTGCCCCTGCCTCCTTGTGATCAAACCACACGTTGTGACACACACACCAGGACTCGTGGGCGGAAAGTGATAGAGTCAGAACTTGAATCCAGGCCTTTCAGCTCCACCCTGCAAGCCTCCAGTGGGCTCCATGCACAGCCCCTGGCCGACTTTACTTATCCTCCTGACTGGCATCAGACTCCATCTGCAACCCGTCGAGTGCCAACCTGAGCATGGCAGGAAAGCTGAGTTCTAACCCACCCAGCACCCAGCACCCTGCACTATGCAGGGCGACAGCTCTGTCCCCAGCCTGCTCACTCCCATGAGGCTGAGGGAATGCAACGCTGAACCCCAGGGCAGACCCACCATGGGCCTCTCTGGTTTCGCCCTTGCATTTCAGAAGTGCCCTCAATGCAAACTGTCCGTTAGTTTTA